CATGAACATTTGAAAACAATGCAGCAGCTATGTGCATTTAGATGTAAAAGTTTAACATTAATTTTCATCTTACCTTCGTCTACATGGATAAAGCTACATCCACTTTTTTTAAGATTTGAAAACATCCTTACAGTGAATAATGTCATAATAGCAAATCTATGCCTTATTAGAAGGCTTTTGTTTTCTCTGTATATCATTCAGCTGCACTCGTCCATGCTTGATGCTTAATTGCAGTTTACTCAGACTCACTTCTGATTATGGGTAAGCAAAGGAAACTTTGCTTGTCTGTACACTCTTGAACCTAAGAATACTAATACCATAGTGTTAATTTTAACTGGAGTGCTTCATCAGAAAGCTGTGACTTGGCTTTTTATACAATCACAATGCCGCTATTGTGCAGCAGCTCACTGCACATGACATCTTGTGGGGAACTTTTTATAGTCATAAATGATTTAGAGTTGAACAGTTGATCAATCCATGAGCAGGAAAAGTTCATTATTTTAGATTAGATTTTGTCTACCAACCTGCAGCTGACCAGTTTCTCAACCTTATAATTCATTTACAATAAGTACTGAAGCCTGATTAATAAAGGTGTTTTTCTTTTGTTCTATTTATGAGGTTTGCATTTAGTAAAAAGAAATACATTAACAAAAAAATCAAAAGATAATCAGTTGTAAAGTTTATAAATTATTTCCTGGAATGTCTAACCATAAGCAGATGTTTATGAAATGTGTAAAGCTGGGATAGTAGAAGAGGTAAAGATGATCACTGGAATGCTTTTTTTTCCTTTACACTTCTGGTTCATTAAAAATGACAATATCATTAACAGCTGCTGTTGATAAGTGGAGTTAAATTAGTGACCAGCAGAAGGTAATGCAGCTGATCTAATTAAGGAAATTACCAATTTTCATTAATAAAATGTTCTTTCCATTCTTGTTTTCCCTTTTCTACCTTCATCCTATGACCTGCATCATATCATAGTTTATGTCATATGCCATTCCATAGGCTAAGAAAAAAAACATACATTTCACATCTAGTTTTAATTGAAAGTAAAAAAAAGAGTATAATTTAAAAATGCATATATAAATAATTATCCTCAAAGATTAAAATACTAGAAAGCAATTTTGCACCAAAGAAAGAAAAAAAAAGAACTATGACTGCATTTTGAGGTATTGTGTTTAGTACTTATGGCACATGGTTCTCTATATACATTAGTTTGGTTCTTTTGATTTTCAGTTTAAATTAGGGATGCACGATATAATCGGCCCCCTATCGGTATCGGCCTGTATCGGCCTTAAAACTGAATATCGACATCGGCCACCCCAACGATATTTAACCCGATATTTGATCAGCTTCTGAGTTTCTAAAGTCTAAAATTAAAAAATACTACTACTTCTTCCTCAAAAACTTCTTTTTTTAAAGACTTAAAAACTTCTAAATACGAGGGAAAAAATATTGATACATTAAAATATCACAATATCTTCATATGCTGATATATTGCCATTTAAAAACACCATATCAGTCTCTTTTACTAATGAAATATTGCTATATGTCATCATTATGCTACCAAATTCCCCTGAAAATCCACGAAATTTTGCCATATTTTTATATGTTGATATATTGACGCGGTATGGATCTATTTTACTAACAAAATCTCACAAGAATTTGCAAAATATCACGAGAGTTTGTAACAGAACAATGAAATTTTACGAGATTTTGAAAATAAAATAGATCGATACCGCGTTTTTAAAGATCAATTTGATATCAGCATATGAAAATATATTTCAGTATATTATTTTTCAAAGTGTCAGAAATGGATAAGAAAACTGCTATTTTTTCAACGACTACTTATTTTTGTTCAGCTTTAACATCGGTATCGGTTATCGGCTACGTGAGTTTTAAAATATCGGCATATCGGATATCGGCCAAAATCCCAATATCGTGCATCCCTAGTTTAAATGGCATTTTTAGTGGAATGCAATTACCAGGAATAGTATTATTCTAAGTAAAAGGGGTCTGTTATCTCCTGGTAGCACATGTCTTTGTGTTGTGCTGCTTGTTTTTTTATAAAATCCAGTTTGGTGATGTTTTTTTTTTCACTTTGCTTCCTTGTGTTTGATGTTGGTAGGTGCCTGCCTTCACAGTTATTGCTCCAAATATTTTCAGCCATTATAAGGTTGCCCCAATGACAGCTCTGTAAACAGAGTGACTCAGACGTCGTGATGTTGTTGCCTTGTTGCATTTATAAAAAGGAATATCTTCATGAAAGTATCCACTCTGAGCTTTGTCATCTGTCCTCACCCGTCAACTACAGACAGAAGAGCTGGCTGCTGCCTGAACCGTCATTCTACTGCTGCTGTGAAATTCAATTTCTCATTCCCTTTTAATATATATTTCTGTAACACCCTATTGTTTTAGACTAGGCTTCTGTCTTATAATTGAAATAATAGCACTGGCCTTAAATGAGGGAATCTTAGCCTTTCAGTGTTTGAGATGCTGCTCTGAGATCTTTTATGATTCCCTGGATGACTTGTGGATGGCCTCTTGGACTAATATTGGTGGGTTGGCTAATCCTGGAAAGGTTTAACCACTGCTGTGTGTTTTATCCTTTTATTGATGATGAACTTGATATTTTGTTTGAATTCCAAAGTATATATAATGGTCTGGGAAACTTACTGAACAATACTTTTTAATGGTTTTGTTTCTTATCTGTTGTTCACTGAGATCAAGAAACGCTGCTTAAATAATATATTTTAGCTTACTTCTTGTTGTCAAGTGTTTTTATTAAAGATTCTCTTTTATTCTATAGATTATTTGTAAAATCATTATCAGAAAACAGTTTTTGCATTACTTTGTTTTGTTTTGTTTTTTTTAAATAATACATTTGTGAGGGTTTGAATACTTTTTCACTGCACTGTTAACGATTTAAGATACTATTTCAATGATAATTTTCATGAACATTAAAATCCTTCCTCAGTGATATATGTTTTTTTTTTATATTTTCATTTAGAGTTTAGAATTACATTTTGACTAACTTATATAGAAAAAGTAGCTTCATAAAAACTGGTCTTCTGTATCTAATCACTTTGTTTTCCTTTTAAATAGCTAAACTTGATTTTGATATTTCATAGTAAATCTTCCAGTTGCTTGTTGGTTAACATTTAAATGTTTTGTCCTGATAATGAGCAAGTGAATAGGTCTGTTAATACTTTCAGACATATGGATTTAGTATATTTTAAAAAGCTATTGGTGTGAGAAGTGTTTTGTGCAGGATCATTTCCCTCAAAGAATGAAACTTATAAGCCTCACAAACTGCAAGCGTCTCCAATGTAAAGAGTGAAATGAGGCGAGTGAGTAGGTTTTAATTTAGCAGAAAGCAATGTGAGTCATTCTCTAACAGAATACCACTCATTACTTGCTGAAAAGAATTTACTGCTTTGGTTAAGGAGGGCTTTCATTATTATGCATACTCCTTAAACACTTCTGGATTTTGCCACTTTACAACCAGATACATGAATGTATCTATTGGAATCGTACATAAAGACGAACTCAAATTGTTATACAAATATTATTCTATCAAATAAAAAGCTGAAAAAATGCAGTGTGCAAAAATATTCAATACTTTGGGAAGCCATATATTACTGCAATTACAGCTGCAAGTATCTGTCAGCTTTGCATCAGTGTATATGTTTATACTATCCAAGGGCTGACATTTTTGCACATTCCTTCTTGCAAAAAAAAGCTCAAGCTCAGTCAGATTAAATGGAGAGTGTTAATTAACAGCAGTGTTCAGACACTGCTACATATTCTGCTTGGGTTTAGGTTTTTACTTTCACTGGCCCATTATAACACACGTTAACTATTCCATTGTAGCCTAGGCTTTATGTTTAGGGTGGTCATCTTGCTGGATGGTGAACCTTCAGCCCATGTCTCAAGTAGAATAGAATTCAACGTTATTGTCATTACATTGTCATAAGTAAAAAACAACAAAATTCACTCTCTGCATTTAACCCATCCCCTTGGGGACTAGTGGGCTGCCATTGTGCGGCGCCCGGGGAGCAGTGTGGGGTTAAGGGTTTTGCTCAGGGAGCCAGAGTGGCAGTCTGTGGGAGTGGGGCTTGAACTCAGAACCTCTGGGACCTCCCTAGTGGTGGCCTAGTGGGGGCCACCAACAAAATGTTGGATTCTTTTGAAGACTCCCAACAGGTTTTCTTCCTGTATTTGTCTCCATCTATTCTCCGATCAACTTTGACCATCTTTCCTGTCCCTGCTGAAGAGAAGCACGCCCAGAGCATGACGCTGCCAACACCTTATTTGACAGTGTACAATGATGTACAGTGTTAGTTTTCTGCACCTATAGCATTTGGTCTTGTCTGACCAAACACTGTGTTCTATATGTTTGCCATTCCTCTAACATGGCTTGGGGACACAGCAAAGCCTGACTTCTTATGGTTTCCTTTTAACAATGGATTTCTTCCTGCCACTCCATAAAGACCACATTTGTGACTAAAAATTGTCCTGACCTGTCTAGTTTTTCCCTGTTTGCTCCCCAGTCTTCTCTTAACCAACCTCTGAGGTTCTCACCGAGCAGCTGTATTTGTACTAAGATTAAATAAGAGACAGGTGGACTCTGTGACGTCATTAGCTATCATCAGGCAACTTCTATACGTGATGGACTGCAAGAAGAGAAAAGGGGGCTGACACCACATTTTTTTTTTTTTTATTTGTCTCATCAACTATCATTTTCTTTCTGCTTCACAACAGGTTTTCACTTTGTGTTGGTCTTTCACATAAGATTACATTAAAATAAATGTATGTTTGTGGATTTAATATTAACAATCTGGAAAAGTTCAAGGGTATGAATACTTTTGAAAGCCACTCTCGGTGAATTTAACAGCCTTGATAGGTTTGCTCTGTACAACTTTGTCCAAACCTAATCACACAGATGGACGTGATTTTGATAACTAAGGGTTCCGTCTAACATGCTGTTCTTTTACCAGAGAACCATGAGCACTGTGGAGGAGGACCCGGATCACAGGATACCATGAAGACAAGTCTGCAGGTCCTGCGCTGCCAGCTGCTGTGTGAGTAGATGATGGAAATGGGAGTGGGGGGTGGGGGTGGTTGGGGGTCGGGGGGGTCTAGACTATGTCTTCCTATGCAATAATGGCAAGCATTTCAGATAAAGAATTATACCTGTAATTTAATGCCCTTTCTAAGAAGCTTTATGATTATATCTATAAGAAAACCAATTCCTTTTCATTTATGAAATATGACAATGTTAATCTAGAAATATAAACATGCTGATCAGCTTCATCAGTTTGTGATTTTAAAGTAACAATTTTGTAATTAACCCTAATTGTTGGAATCACCCCCTACGGTGGAAAAGAGTGGTGATGGCAAGGTGGGCTTATGCTAACACCCTTCCAGTATTGATATAAAAGCACGAGGATGACCAAGTTCCCCCTTTGCGGAAAGTGCGGCCCTGTGTGCTTTTTTTGGTGAACAGATAGCCAGCATCAAATAAAAAAAATAAGCCTCTTTCAAACTTTTGTCTTTCCACCAGGTTTTAACTGAGGCCTAACACCAGCACATATGTTTTAATATGAAAAAGTCTGATTTCCAGATGATGACTACTTTAAGATATGGATATATTAAGAAGACAAATTATTAAATAAAAGTTAAAATTGTTAAGAAATGTGCTTTGAGTATATTGAGGTGCCATGTGATAAATAAACTAAATTCACAACATAAACAGATTAGGAAGAGCATCAGTCACTCTGTTGAAGCTCCGGCATTTCTCTGTGGAGAGAATAACCGTGGAGAGAAGGTAGCCATCTCTGCAGCAGTCCACCATGCAGCAGGCCTGCATCGTAGAGTGGTCAGATAAAGCTAGTTCTTTATAAAAGGCACATGGCAGCCTGGTGTGTGTGAAAAAAGGCTCCGGGATGACTTTCAGACCACGAGAAATAAAATTCTCTGGTCGAATGTGACAAAGTCTTTGGTGTTAATGATTTGTCATGTTTGGAGGAAGAAAACAACCACATGCAAATACATCCCTACAGTAAAGCATTGTGATGGTTACATCATGTAATGGGTATACGTTTTAGTAGCAGGAACTAGCAGACTGGTCAAGATAGAGGAAACAAAGAGTGCAGCAATGCAGATAGACATCCTGCATAAAACCTTTCTGCAGAATACTCTGGACCTCAGACTGGGTCAATGACCCAAAGCACGAAGCCAAGATCTTAAAGGTGTGATTATCCTGGAGCGGCCAAGCCAGAGTCAAGACTTAAATCCTATTCAACATCTCTGAGATCTCAATATAAATATCCATCCAATCTAATGGAGCATCAGATGTTCTGCAAAGAAGAATGGGCAAAACTGCCTAATGAAATGTATGCTGGGTTTGTAGCATCAAACAAAAAAGATTTGAGCAAAGACTGTAATTTGATTTTTTTTTTTTATTTGAAACCATCTCAAAAACACCTTTCACATTGGCATAATCCCCAAATTGTGAGTCGAATTTGGAAGATATATTTGGAAAAAGGCTGAATAGCATAGCAGGAAAAGGTACAGTGCTGTGAATACTTTCTGGAGTGTCTGTTAATATCTCTTTATCATCCTTTTTAGCTTTTTAGGTAGCTTCACTCTGCATATAGAACTTGAGTTAGAAAATATCAGTATGTAATGAAGGTAAGAGACTTTTCCTTTTTGAATTTAATCACTGAAAGGAATTAAATTTTTTATGAAATTCTGAGATCTGGAGCTGTTAAAGAATAAGCTGCTAAATCTCACCGGACAGCATAAGATAATAAAATATCCTGATTCATAAAAGTACCTCCACAACCCTGTAATTTGAAGACATGGCATGATGTCTAAACTGCTTCATCCCTTCATTGCTTGTCACATCTTTGCTGTTTGAAATGTACAAGCTCAGGGAAGAGATGCTCTGAGCTTTGGCAGGATCCCAGTGTGGAATGTCACATGAATATGGAAGAGGAAGGTCTGACTGAAAGCCACCAGCGCTCCAGGACACTTCTCTAAAATGGCTGGTGATATCTGTATTCTCCCCCCAAATCGCACCTCAGGGCAGAGGAGCCACAGGCAGTTTCTGACAAATCTACCTCAGTCCCTCAGAGGAGATAAACACTGACTGCTGTGGGATGACGCCTTAAGCTGTCATAGCGGTGGAAGAGAAGTCATGTTGGAGAGGAGGAGAAAATGTGGGTTAAAACTGTAGATTCAAAGTTTATATCACAGACATATTTCAGAGAAATCTTATTTTCTGTAAATTCCCTCTTTGAAGTATAATCGCAACTTTCTTTCATGCTTTCTTTTTGAAGTTCAGCGGAGCCCCAGGTTTCCATCGGCACACTTTCATTAGGATTTTATTTTAAGGTTAGATGGAGCCGAAGGGCCAAACTGAGACTTGTGTCTCTGAGCAGTGCGGAGAGATTTGTCTCACTGGAGGAGCCATCTATAGGAGACGAAGAGCTGAAGATATAATGACTAAAGGATCATATAGCATATAATCTGTCAGTATTGCACATTCCTCCACTTTTTAGCCATAAATTAGCCAGACTGGAAAATTTTCATCAGTTTAAGAAATTTGGAAATCTTTTGAAACTGATTTTTTCTTTTTTTTTATTTCTTTTTTTTTTTATATACTCTAATAATCCAAGAGGGAAATTACTTCTCTGCATTTAACACATCCCCTTTGGGAGCAGTGGGCTGCCATTGTGCGGCGCCCGGGGAGCAGTGTGGGGATAAGGGTCTTGCTCAGGGCCTTGCTCAAGCCCTAACCACTAGGCCGCCTCCCACTTTTCTGTTCTATGCAGACCGGGGAGTGTCCAAAGTATACCCCCTGGACTCGTTTACTAGAGTTCAAATATTTGAAAAGGCCACAAATCAGGCTAGGCAGCACAGCTATTATGGGACTTTTTCATTTTTATTCATTGAAATCTACTTATGATGTAAAATGTGTAACACCAAGTATTCTCTTTTCATAACAATTTTTACATTCTCTGTCATTTCACGGTAAATAGGGTAACATGTATCTGCTGATTAATTCACAGGTTTGCTTTTAAACAATATTGTAAACTTAATTAATCTTAATAAAGTTTTTGTTTGAATAGACAGATTCTCCACATCAAATAATCTGCAAACTTGTGGCAAACATGACAAACATTTAAGGTTTAGATCTATAATGATTGACACATCACTTTCCTACAAAAAATAAACTAAATGCTTTACCCCGTAAGTGGCTTAAAGTTAAACATGCGAAACAGTGTGGAATATATTCTTTTTTTACATGACAATGGTAGCCAACATCACAATATGCTTAAACTGCATTAAAAGAGAAACAACAGTGATTATGTGGACCCCAGGAAGACTAGCTGTTTGCCATGGCAACAGCTAATGGGGATCCTTAATAAAATTACAAATTACAAATTATCTATTTTTTATGAGCTTATTTTATGCTTTAGTCATTCAGTAATAGTTTAAGTTATTTAAGCATTATGCTGTTTTTTTATTTCTGAAAATCTGTAGATGCAAGTCAAAAAATTTGGATTAAAGCAGCGAAAGCCTGAAAGGAAAATTGAATCACTGAAAGACCTTCAGATTGCCCTGCAAAAACTATTGATCCAGACCTTTTGAAGCTTTGAAGCTCTTGCCGTATGCAAGGGAAAAGGCTGCATATTTCAACAGTCAATGAGAACCTGTTATATATTCTGGTTTGAATCCTTAGCTCTCTTTAAGGTTTCTATTATCCGTGGACATGTTTGAATTGTTTTAGAGCAGAGAACCATAACTGTGAGCTACTTCAGACTCAGTGTTTTCCCCAGATTCCAGAGAACTTCCTGTTTAATGTCTCCCCTTCCTGTTACATCCATGGCTGCTGTGACAGCAGCTAAATTGTTCCCCAAGTAAACAGAGCAGGGACTCTTTGTTGCTCTTGTTTCTGCATTCTCTCACTGTCTGATTCTAAGATAAACAAGTTCAAAGCTGCTGTAACTTGACAAACAATTTCTGAACCATTCAAACAGGAAGGCATTACCCTGTACTGAAAGCTTAGCCTCTTATCTCTGAGCTCACATCTGTGGAGTCCCCCTCCTCCCTCCCTCCTCCTTCATACTCCACCTGCCGCCCCGCCTATCCAGGCCTCCTCCAGTGTGTCCCAGACGTCCACAGGATGTGCCCTATCTATCTGTGTCCCCCCATGGGACAGAGATCTACCCAGAATAGTAGACATCCACGCCCAGAAGAAAAACCAGAAGAATTTGTCTGTTTGTGCCTTTGCTAAGATGACACCGTCATAGATTTCGTATCAAGATTAACCTCAAAAGCATCTACTTTTATGGGCTTAGCTCTTTACTGTAGTCATCGGAAAAAGAGGAGATAATTATCATATGTAGAATTAGAGCAGTATAGGAAAAAAAACCTTAAAAAGAACAAATTTAATCATTCAAACTGACACCTTTTATAGTCTTGGCACATCTCCGAACAAAAAAAAAAATCCTGAAACTGAATACAGAAACACTTATTGTTTAGATTCTAAGTTAGAAATCTAAAACACAATTTTTTTTTACAGTTTTCTATATAATTCATATTTCGGCAGCCTGTTATACAGTTATGCTCCATTTTTGGTGACCACATCAGTGTAGGATACCAATCTAAACTTGACACTCTTCTTGGTGTTTGTTCACTCCATCACCTGAGTCCCTTGGGTTTTCCCTGACTGTAACCGCTAAAGTTAGAAATATGTGCCAAAAAAAGCACTGGTTTGTATAAACAAAGATGATATTTATATTGTGCATTAACTCCTAAAAATATTGAGTGCTAAAATAGCTGTTGTGGCTCAGTAACTCAACTAGTTACTGTCCAGTACCATACGTTTTTGACAACATCTGAGTGTAATGCATAACTTTTAACAGAAGGAGGCAGTTTTAAGAAGACTTTTCCACTGCAGCTCCTGGTTTATGTACTCAGCTAAAATTACAATGGGTCAATCAAAGGTTTAGTTTCTCTTGAATCTTTGCTTTCCCAACAGTTTCACGACTCTAGAACTCTGTCCAAACGT